CACACCATTGGAATTGGGTTTTGATTTCTGTATCAATGTGTCATTGTGTGTTTTATATTTAATTTCAGCTTTTATTTTGTGAATTGCATGCTGCTACTTTACTTCAGTTTCCTTTTTGTTCTTTTATAACTGTGTTAGTCTGGTTATTAATTTGGTTACTAAGATGATCTTTATTGGTCTAAAATTTAAAGGCATGAATTATTCTCTGGGCATCCCCAAACTGTTGATCTTCAGCATTTTTATTATCACTTTTAAAAGAAATTCTGTAAATGTTTATTCCTCTTTCTCCTAAATGTAATTTGATATACATTTTCTTTCAATTTGCAAGGTAATTAGGTCTTTTTGTTTGCTGGGTTTCTTATTAATTGCTAGATATTTTGGATCATATTGTGAAAACCATAGTAAGCAAGATATGCACCTTGAAATTATAAGGGGTTTTTGTAGTTATAGTCAGTATTTTCTGAGAATTTAAGAAACCTATGTTATTTATTTCAGATCATTAAAAATGTGTCAGCTAGATTTCCTTTTTGGGAGGGATTTGAGCTCAGAGCCTAGCATTTCCTCGGCAGATACTCTCTCAGTTGAGGCATATCACAGCCCTTTTTTTGCATTAGTTATTTTTTTGGATAGGGTCTCCCTTTTTTTGCCCCAGATTAGCCTTGGTTCAAGATTCTCCTACACATGCCTCTCTGTAGCTCAAACCAAAGAATCACATCACCCAGCCCAGCTTGTTAGTTGAGATGGGGTCTTGCTAACATTTTGCCCACAATGTCCATTGACCATTATTGTTCTGATTTCTGTCTTCCAACTAGCTGGGATTCAGGGGTGAGCCATCACACCATGTAGATTTACTTTTTTCTTTTCCTTTTTTTTCTTTCTTTCTTTCTTTCTTTTTTTTTTTTTCTGTGTGGCAGTTTGAACTCAGTAGGGCTTTGTGCTTATTAGGTATGTCCAAGGTCTTTTGGTTTAGATTTTTCAAGTAATTTATTGTTTTTGCTGGAGGCAGCCTCAGACTGCAATACTCCTACCTATGCCTCCTACACAGCTGAGATTATAGATGCATACTACCTTGCCTGTCTTGTGTTTGTTAATATGTGTCCTCAGAAACTGCTCAGGCTGGCCTCAAATTGTAACGATGTTGATCTCTTCCTTCTTAATAGCTGGGATTACAATCATGAGCCACTGTGCCCAGCCAGATTTACTTTCTTAACTGATATTTTGTCTACTTCATGTGTTATGGACTTTGAGAAGTTAATAACCTTGTCCTTCAATATTTGACCTAACACTAATGATATTTACTGCTGTGACAAATATGAATAGTCTTAATTCCATGTCATATTTTCCTTTAACATGAGATTATTTTGCTTTTTTTTGTTCGTTATTTTTAAGCTACCAGTTCTGATATTTAAGGAAGTTTTTATTTTAAAATGTCTTCCTTTGTTTATTTTATTATTTCTCTTCTTTGAACAATGCTAGATTTAACAGGTATCCTCTTCTTTCTGCCTCACCTTCTATTGCTGTATGAGCCAATAATTTTTAATTTCTCCAGTGTTTATTTTATATTGATTGATCTGTTTATGCTTATTGTACTTGATTTACAAAGATTAAATTATAATCAGTGAAATTACCTGCCATTGTGTTGTTCATTTTGCTATTTTTATATCATTTTCTTTATTATGTTCTGCTTCCTTAATGTCCATATTTGTTTAATCTGAGGCTTATAATTGGATCCACTCAACCTTTACTTCTTTTTGTCAAAGCTTCCTCAACCACCTTTTGGCTGAGTTAAGTTTATCCTCAGGTAACATTTTAATGAACAATTCAGGGGAAAACTATTAGGTGAACTTTTTCTTGATCAATACCCTTGAACTTTATACTGTTGACCTACTTGAATGTTTACATACCATACATTTTTCCTTTGAATATTTATGTAGGCATTTCTACATTATTCACTGTCATTGAATAGCATTTGATAAATTTGAAGACAATCTGATATTTCTCCCTTTACTCTCTCTTCTCTTTGTGCCTGAATTCCTAATTTTTCTTCATCCTTAAAATCTAATTATTTCAGCAAGCAATAACCAAAACTGATCAATTTGGTCTACACTCTACTGTATTTTTTTTAATATGTGGATTTAAATCAATTTTTTATTTAGTCAGAGATTTCATGAAATAATTCAAGTTGAAATAATTCACCTTTTAAAATGGTCTCTTTAAACTTTCTTCTTTGGAAATTCATTTTACTTTTCATAAAACTTCCTTCTTTGGTGACTGTATTATTTTCTTGTTAAATTATATAGGGTCTGTTTTTATTTATATATTTTTTCTCATGACAATATTCTGTTCCTTGATGTTTTTCCCCAGGGTATCTTGCCTTCCTTTCATTCCCCAAATTCTTCTTTATTCTAGTGTGAGTTGTATTTCCCTTTCTATATTTTTACAGATTACTGCAAGCTCATTTTCATCTATTTCCAATCTATATCAATCCCATTTCTATGTTTGTCACTTCCCCATCATATGGAATATTGCCCCATTGTTTTTCTATTGTTTTATTTAATTATTCACTTGCTTTATATTTTTTATCATCTTTCTGGCAACCTTTTCTTCTTGCTGTTTTTCTGACATTGTCCTTATGTAATTATGTTAGTGCTCTATCTGGTTCCTTTTTAATTAGAACATTTTGGAGAACATACAAAAAAGATTAAAAATGTTAACATTTGTGTGATAGTTACACAGAAAGGCACACATCTCAATCTCGTGGTTCTAAAATTGGAATCATACTTTAATGTTGTGATCTCCATTTACCCTTCTTGAATGACTATTATTTTAAATATAGTCATCTTAGCCCATCATACACAAGTATTGTGGTTTATTTCATTAACTCTCTGTTATGAGACCATTAAGGAGAACTTGACACTGAAAATATCATTTTGCTAATTGTCCTAGTCCATAAATCTTAATTCAGTCCAAAAACTGAAATCCAAATATTTCTTTGGATAAATTAGAAGTGGTAAAATTTCTTGGACAGAAAACTATGGATGTTTCCCAGTTTTTTGGTCAAATTATCCTTCAAATATTTTTTACATACTCTCATCATTAGACAAAAGTCAAATTTCCTTGTTTTGAATCTGTTGACAGCCGACATCCTAATTTTTAAATCACATTGCAAATTTTGGATACTAAATTTGGTCTCATTCTTACATTATTTCACAGTTTTATTTATTAGTGAGGTTGAGGCATTTTTGTTTGTTTCTGCTGAATTCATACAGCATATCCATATCTTATTTTATAAATTTCCTGTCCCTATTCATGACTGAATTCTTTAAGGATTTTCCTTTCTCTACAAAAAAACAAACAAACAAAAGTATTGGTAAAACCTTTTAAATGCAGCAGTATCACTTCTCTCGCCATCTTTTATTTGCTTCATAATTTAGTACAGAATCTTAAATGTTTTTTAAATGAATCTAGGGTATGCTTCTTTACTTTTTCTCTTTTTGCTTTTATACTTAAATAGAAATTTCTCTTTTAAAGTAATAAAGATATGTAAATATATTTTCCTTAATTTTCCTTGTTTGAAATGTCACAACTGTCACTTACTACATGATCCGGTGACTGTTTCTGTATTTTCTATCATATTTCATTTGTTTTTCTGAGGCTTCTTTGCCAATACTATGCTCACTCATTTAATGTATTTTATAATATCCTGTATTATCTTTCAAAGCTTGCAAGATATCATTTGCAAGAGAATGTAGCATATTCCTGTCTACACCTTTCTATCTACACTTTTCTATTTCAAAGTGTCTCATTCTCATGCATATATTCTATATAAACTTAAAAACATTTTCCCAAGTTCCAAAAGAGAGTACCTTAGAGATTTTGTTTTGACAACCATTAAAACTATTGTTTTGTCAGTCTTTTCATTGTTATGACTAATACCCAAGAGAAACAGTTGAAAGGAAGATTTATTTTGTCTCACAATTTCAGAGATTTTGTTCCATGGTTGACTGGCTCCATTGTTCCTTGGCCTGTGGTGACATCATAGGAGATCATGGCACTTCATAGTATCATAGCACACCATAGTATATCACAGCACAAAGGTAGGGTGGAGCAGATCTGCTCACCTTCAGCACTAGGAAACAAAAGGGCATCCTAGGAAAGGGCCAGGGTTGAGGAATACCCTTCAAAGTCAAACTTCCAGCAACCCACTCTCCTAACCAAGCCCCACCTTCCAGTTTCACCTCTTCTCAATAGTCTACTCAAATTTTATGTCCATCCATGCATTAAACCACACATTAGATCAACGATCTCACGATCTTAGCATCTCTGGAAATTCCCCCACAGACACATCCTGACACGGGCTTCACTAATCTCTTAGTTATCTCACAACTCAATCAAGCTGAGCCATGACAAGTATTGTTTAGATACCTGACGATTGGGAACATTGTATCTCTTTTGCTCAAGTTTATATTTTTCCAATTCCCATCTAATATGCGAATTTTTCCTATATATTCTGAATTTCATGTCTGGCAAATTAGTATGCTTATTAACAATATAAAAGTAAACAATATTTTTAGGAAATAACTCAAAAATTTCCAATGATTATATAGAGTGTTTGGGTACCATTTCCCTTTAGAAATTCTATTGTGAAAATATGAAAATATTATTGTAGTAATATTCAACACTTTTCTGATTTTAGCTTTATTTTGAAATTTAAAAAATCCTCAACATTTTAAATCATTTTATTTTAGATAAGAAACATTTTATTAAGTATACTCTTCAGATGATTTTACTGGCATACAAATTAGGGAACTGAAAATGTGTATATATTGATTTTATCCTAACTCCTGATAACATTTTATAAATATAAACTTACTTATTCTATCTCTCAGCATATCTGCTAAATATTTGATAACTGAAATCACAAGTTATCTTCATTTGCTGGCCACAAGTTCTTAAATTAATTAGTTTTTTTTAGACCAAAATATCTATTATATTTTTAGGTTAGTTGGATGGTTTGGCCATGAACTCAGCACCAGATTTAACATGAGTAACAGTAAGTATATTCAATTTTATTTCAAAAATCATTTTACTTCAGCTTCATTTTAATTTTCATCTGTCTATGTATTATATGTAACATAACTGCCCCCATGGAGAATGCACTTTGAAAATGTCACTGAGATTTTTAAAAATAAGAGATAACATTTTAAATGTGTAAGACTAAGTATTTATAGACTGTAGCATGATTTTGAGTCTATCCCTTTGTAGACAGATAAAAGAAAGTGAAATCTAACATATGGCTTAAGTGGCTTGGGCAGATTCCTCTGTGCCTGAAATATCAGGTGGTGAAAGCAGGAGGGTATTTGATGCTTGAGGTCAGACCCAAAAAGCCTTGAATGATCCATTTAGCTGCTTTATAGCTTTGTGATATTGCAAATAAAAATGTATCTTCTTGGATCATTGTGCTTGCTGTTCCATATATCTTACATGAATAATACCAATTTTAGGGTTTGGCTTAAGAGGAAGTCAAATTCAAAACTGTAAACCAAGTAACATACAGAAGTATTTTTTAAAATGTTCCTTTTCACTCCTCTTTTTTTCTAAATACTCCCTTTTTGTGGTTTTTGCCACTTACCTGATAATGTGCAAATTAAACCCTTATAGGTAGACATGAAATGGTGTCATGCAATAGGCTTACAAGCTATACTACTTCTTTCTTTCACCTGAGTAATTCTATTCTTCAGGCACATATGAAACAGGAAGCTTCACACCTGTTTTTAAGAGTTGAACTTAAATTAGATCCTTCAGCTTGGTCCTAATCCTAAAATACTATATGTATATATATATATAAATATACATATATTTGAACTTGCAGCAACCAAGAAGAAAAGGATCAGAATGGACTATTCTAGACAAATCAAGAAGCTGATATTTTATCTTGGCTGTTGACATAATTAGCTCTGTAATTCCAGTTAGTTAAATTCTTTGAGTTGGATTTTTTTATCAGTAAATAAAGGAATTTGATTAAGTCAGAAATGGATGAGCTTCTGTGAAAGATGAAATAGGAAATATTTTATGCTCTTAGGGTTATACAGTCACTTAGCAAATACTCAGCTCTGTTGTGGTGCTAAAGGAGCCATAGAGATACACAGAAAACTTGACTTAAAAGAGCAAGTATTGGATTAAGCATACAGACCATAGTTTGACAAGCCTCAGATTAGATGAATTTCTAAACACTTGTAATATTTTAATGTTTTCTTAGGCTTAGTTTTAACTTGGTTTCTAGCTAGCCCTCTTAACCCTGTTGGATTTAACATGGACATAATATAATTTTAAAAATCTGATATCAATATATCTTTTTAATGTGTCATACTTAAGCAGATATCTTAAAGACCCCCTCATTTTCCTGAGGAAGGCACATGAGCTAATAATCCTAGAGCTTCAAGTCAGCTTCATAGGTCATTGTATTCTTCTGCCTTTGGGTGACATACACTTACATGTCATTCAAACCTTGATTTTCTCTCTCAGGACATGGCTTCATGACAAAAACAAAGCATGGAGCCAATAAGAAATGCTGGCTTAGGAACAGGAAAGCAGAGGACAGGGTCCAAAAGCCTTCTAGAAGAGGTCAATTGTTATCTCATGTATATGGGCTGTAGTGTTCCATAGTTTGCTGAGAAAGTAGGACAGGGAAAATGAGAATGCCAAAATTTCCACTCCAGTGAGTATAATCTAAACATCTTTGAAACCCACCTAGGAATAAAAGGCTTTAGGTCTTACTTTTTGCTCTCTACTTCTTTATTTTCTTTATAGACTCTTTTACGATATATTCTAATTAATGATACATTGATTTTTTTCAGAACTGCAGTTGATCCCTGGGGTCAATGGATTCCGAATTTCAAATCCTCCCATTTTCTTGGTCTGTCCTTTGCAAGCTAGTTTGGAGGTAAGAGATCTGTCTGTGCTTCAGCCTACCCATGTCTTCACTTTTCCTCCTTACCTGGTTGTGACAGATTTAATACTTTCTTTGCTAATCACCAAAATTATATGAAGTAGGTGATGGCTAGCTCTTATAAACCCAGCTATTTTAGAGGCAGAGTTTGGGAGGATCACAGTTTGTGTCAGCCTGTGAAAGTTAGTGAGACCTCATCTCAATGAAAAAGCCGTAAGTGGTGGCTTACACTTGTAATTGTAGCTATGCAGAAGGTGTATGTAAGGAGGATCATGATATAAGGCCAGACTGGGAAAAAATTGTGAAATCTTATCTGAAAAATAACTGTGCACAAAAAAAGGACCCAACTTGTAGAGTGCTTGATTAGAAAGTACAAGGCCTTAAGTTCAAACTCCAATACTGCCAAAAAAATTTACGAATGTACATAAGCAATGAACAGCATTTTCCTATTAACACTGTGTCTGTGTTAACTTTCATTTATACATCCTACCCCGAGCACAGCACTTGGCACATTGTTGGCACATAATAAAAATTAAATGTAACTGACCTGCAGAGACATTGAATAATCTCTGCTATTATGATTTTATTTTCCCATAATTCATTCATATTTTTGCTTAAATTTAGTCTCACCATAAATCAATTTTTATATAATCAATTAGGTATATATATATGTATATTTATAAATGAATAATGATATTTAGATGTACATGTCTATTAAACCAAACCATGATTTATTTCATATTATTTTGGGATAGATTAAGTTTATTCAAATAAATATATATAGTTATATTCCAAATAATTACAGATCATACAGTTAATAATATTAATACATATATCAGTTGAACATGTATTTAATACATACTTGAAATGTATTTTAACATATCTAATTTGAATAGTTACTCAAATAAGAACATTGAATAGTTTTTCAAATAAGAACATTTGATATTTTATTATGATGGAGGATTCCAGAACTTAATGAATGACTGGAGAAAAACAAAATTTCTTTTAAATTCTAAATTCAAGAATTGTTGAACACTCACAACAGTTTCTTATTTTGGTCACTTGATGGCAGTGTCAAGGTCCTCTGTTTTTATATAACTTCACCACTGGATAGTGATAATCTCATTGATACCAATTTCATTTGATACCAATTTGGAGAGCAGATCCTCAATTTGACCACTAGATGGAGCATGTTGTTTTTACTTTTTGACAGATTATTAATGCAAAATAGACCCAATGACAAAATTGTATAGCCAGTAATACAATTGTTTAAAAGTTGTTTTGAGTAAAAATGTGCTTAGTGAATTGGACAATAATGTTTGAATGGCTTTATAATACTTATTTAGAGAAACATTTGTTTAAAGATTTTTAAACAAAAAGTTTTAGTTTACTTTACAATTTTACATCAGGAGATGAGACATGATACAAAAGGCTCCAAGACATGTCAGGAAGAACTAGGGCTTAACATGGTTTCTTCTGATTTCCCTTATCTTTGCAAATATCTTATGAGACAAATCTAGCAATTTCCTTTCTATTTGAGCCAGGCTCTGTCTTATGTAACCTGGGCTGGCCTCAAACTAGCTATGTAACCCAGGCTGGACTCAAGATTGTACTGCTTCAGCCCCCTGAATGCTGGGATTACAGGCATGAAGTATCACACCCAGCAAGAAATTTCCTTTTAGACACTCATTTTACTATGTCCTCTACAGAAAACTGACTTTTCTTCTGTACCTACCCCTCTGCTGTGGGAGGAGAGGCAGACTCTTGTTTTTTCTACTCTTAGTTTCCTTCCACACTGTGTTAGTGGCACCTAGAGATGTTTTATTCTCAGAATCTGTGAATTGATGTACATTTTCCCTTTATTATCTAAGCTTAAAACTAGCAAAAGACTCTAAATATCACAAGAAGAGGACTGTACACTTCTTTGGAGCCTCTCATAACTATGGTATTTCCCTAGAGCCTCTTACTGAAGTTGTGTAGTGCTGAGGCTATGTTCAGACCAAAATTTTCATCAGGTAATCAAGCATTATGTTGGTTAAAGTGATTTTCAGAATTATTTCTTCCTATAATATTGTAAAAAATTTTAATTACAAAATAACACAGGCTTCCCACTCTCTTGCAATATCTCAATTTCTATACTTTTCTAAACTTGCAAGTGAGTCCACAACCGTGAATTGACCTTGTTGCTCCTTACTTTGTGTTTTTAAAACAGTTATTGTTGTGCAGGAAATAAGTGGTTGACAGTTAAGTAAATGAGAGAAATAAATCAATGAATCAAAATTCATCTCTTGTCTCTACCTTTCTTTCAAAAATATGGTACATTCTCAGTAACTGGAGGGAAGATTCTGCTTAACAATCAATTTTTCATTAATATGATCTCAGACTGAAAATAATAATCTTAAAAGATTTTAATATATATTAAATATATATTAAATCAATTTCATGATTGATTGACAGCATTAAAAGTAATTCCTTATAATCAGTTCTGAAGTGTCTTTTACTTTTGTCCTTGGATCTGAATAATTTCTATAGTCATTTAAAAATATTGTAGATCATGGGGATGTTATTACTCTTCACACTAAGTGTGACCTTCAATTCATTTGTTTCTCTTTTATAATGTATATATTTAGAACTGGTAACTTCAGAAGTTTATTCAGTTTTCCAATTACACATCTGAAATTTTATATATTGCATTGTGAAAGTTCTTATTTATTTTGTACACAACAATAGGTAGATAATTTTTAGATCTTTTCAGTATATAAATTCATGATTAAATATATTTCTTCAAACTACAAAACTGAAACATTCAAGTAACATACATTGCAAGTCAGAAAGACCCAAAACAACAACAACAAACAAAAAATGCAGTGTTTCATCACAAAGGCTAATGTCTAATTTTAACAGTTTAAGAAAAAAATGTGATACTTGGAAACATCACACTATATGTTCTTCTCTTAATCAATGTTTTTTAACTTTTCTAATTTATATTCATTTTACTCATTAAGAAAAAAATGAGTAAAATTTCCAAGTAGGTGGAAATTCTACCAAGACTTCTGTTGTAAGCTGAATATCTTTAAACTATATTTTTCAATTTTGAATAACAATTACTTTACCTATTTTACCTTACCTTTTTAATTCTTTTCACAGGGGTTTAAATCCAGGGATTTGCACATGCTAGGCAAGCTCTCCACCACTGAGTCATACCCTCCAACCTTCCTCTTAATATTTTCATGGGAGGTCTCAGAATAGACTTGCATACTCTGTGAGTATGAATTGGACCAGGAGTACAATGGCCCTTGTGCTTGTCATGTAGAAAGTAATTTTATATTTTAAAGTTTTTTTCTCATTGAAAAGTAATAACATCCCACATAGTATTAAAATTAAGATTCATTGTCAATAAAGAATATGGTTTCAAATTATCAAGAGAAATCTGAAAGAGCAAAGCCCTCCTAACTCTCTTTTTTAAAAGCTATAAAGTAATAGTTCCAAGTCATGTGAACCCCTGGGTACAGATGAACTATTATCAAAAGCATACAGCTGATTCTCTACATCTATACATGGGTTATGCAATTGTGATACCCAAATTTAGATTGAAAATATTACGTGTGCTCAGGCTCTTTTCTCTTGTCATTTTTTTGCTAGACAGTACAGTATCACAGCCAGTTGCATGGCATTTACGTTACCTTAGGTAATATAAGTAATGTACAGGAGATGTAAAATATATGGGAGAATGTGTGTAAGTTACATACAAGTACTATACCATATTATTTATGGGATTTGAGCCTCAAGGATTTTGGTATCTGCCTGTGTCCTGGGTCCAATTCCTGCAAATACTGGGGGATAATTGTACTGCACACATTACCACTATCTATATATTATAGGGCCCATAGCAAAAACAGATTTTCTAAAATTATTAACTAAAATGTCCTACAACATTGTACACTTTAGAAAGAAACTTGGACCATTCCTTCTCATAATTATTAACTAAAACTTCACCAGCCAAACTACTGGTGGGTCATGCCTTGTCAGTCTCTGACAAGTGTGTTGACCCAGGTCCACTTGTGTGTTGTTTTACAACTTGGGTCACCTGAGTATTGCTTGCACTCAAATCTCAAGACTTCAGAACACAAAGATATAGTCTTCTATCTGCAGCTGATACCTTCACAGGTCTCAGACAGCATCCTCTCCTTCAGCAAAATTCATAGCCTTTATCTAACATTGTTCGAGAAAAATCTGTGCTAATGGTTTGAGTTCTATTATTGTGTGTGCTCAAACATGCTATGTATACGTACAAAAATAACTTTTCATACTCTTGATAAAGTCTGGATGTCACCAAATGATCCTATTTTTGTTCTTGATATTTTTGCTCATGATACAGGAAAAGAGACATTAAGTGGTACGCCAGTGCATCATAGTCTGTTTGCATTGATTCAGTTCTCGAATGTAGGATATGTTTTTAAACTCTAATTGACCTTAAGAGATAAGCCAAAAAGCATGTTCATTCTGACCCCCTAATGTTCCCGCACCAGTTATTTTGAGTCCTTGTCACTCATCTTAATAGGCAGCTCAGGCAGCAAATGGCAACATTTTCACATAAAGCTTGAGCTTAGCAAGGGAAAAAATTATAATGGAAGGAAGGAAGGAGGGAAGGAGGGAGGGAGGGAAGGAAGGAAGGAACAAAGGAAGGAAGGAAGGTTGGTTCTGTAATAATAAATACATTATGTATTTGCTTCCCTGTCTAAGTAAACATAGCTTCACAATTTAGCAGCTTATTTTTTCACATTATACTGGAGGAAATTTAGCAATCAGTAAAACAATTTTAGATAATATTGGTAACTCTGCCCTCCACATATATACATGCATTTATCTCATACTGAACATTTTGTGAACCAAAACACTATGAGAGTACGAAAAGTTTTTTTTTAAATTCATTTATTCACATGTGCATACATTGTTTGGGACATTTCTCCCCCCGTCCCCCGCTCCTTCCCTCTTCCAGGCACCCCCCTCACTTCCAGGCAGAACCTGTTCTGCCCTTATCTTTAATTTTGTTGAAGAGAAAACATAAGCAGAAAAAGTCTTTTTGATTGTACTTCATAAAATGGTTTTGGAAGAAAAGTTTAAATTCCATGAAACTTAAATGCATTTTCTAAGGTGTGTTTTAATTGCTGACTACACATTAATTAAAGCTAACTTTTAAGGAATTTACTCTTAATTTTTCTTCTTTTGCAAGCATTGTAAATGACATTTGCTTAATTTTACTGCATAGAAGTTTTGACTTCAATATTTTTAATTATAAAGCATTTAAAAGGGCATGTTTTTGCCAAAGGATTATCTGAAATCGGATGCTTATTGGATAGGTCGGAAGTGGGCATTTCCTTTTTATACTTGATTTACACTTAATTTTTGCTTCTTTGTAAATCAATAAGACACTGTTAAACTGATCGTTTCTCATTCTGCAGATCTTTAGGAAAGCAACTATAAAAGCTTTGAGGAGAAAATCCATTTTGCTAACTGGCTATCTGGAATACATGATCAAGCATTACTATAGCAAAGAGAAATCAGAAACCAAGGAACCAATTGTGACCATAATTACTCCACCCCACATAGAGCATCGGGGCTGCCAGTTAACACTAATATTTTCTAACACTAAGAAAAATGTTTTTGAAGAACTTTCAAAAAGAGGAGTGGTTGTAAGTATATCTCTTGCACTGCAATCAGGTTTTTATCTCTGGGCTGAGTGTTGGGGACAGACTGTGGATTCCTGGTTTACTCTTTGCTGCATGTCATTCCACATCAGTCAATCAGTTAGGGTAAATTAAATGCCAACTACATATTCACCACTGTGCTAACTGAAGAACATAGAGATCAGTCTGTCATTCTGATAAAAGGGAACCAGACCACAATTTTGGTTATAAGAAATATATTATGTAATTTACTCATTCTTTTCATATATAACAGAGCAGAAAAAAAGATTACATCACAACCAGTCAGGATACATTTTCCCTAACTTTGTGAAAGGAAACAAAGAAATCAGTCTCATTTAGTTGTTTGATTGAAAAAAGTTATTTTCACCCTGTCACTTCAGTCAAAAAAGATACAGTGATATTTCTTAGGAGTGGTAACATTGCAAAAAATGATTAAAAAAAATAAACAGGGCCTATGTGGCCTTCTTTGTCTGTCTTCAAGAGACAAAGAACTAGTAGCGGGAAAAAGAATTGATAGTATATCTTTTTCCAATGATCATATGATTTAGGTCTTGTTCCACACAAGTGGTCCTCAAACCTTTAGCAGAGGTTACCCCAGATTTTCAAGGCACAAGTTACAGGATCAGGACTACAAGCAAAGCTCTCCCTTGTCTAAGGTATATGCTCTTGGAAAGTTCACTAAGATCTACTGGCTTGAGGCTTATTACCTATATTTTGACATAAAATACTTATCTCAAAGAGTTGTTATGAGAATTAAATGGAACAGCACATGTAGACTGTTATCCAATGCATGATGAGTGTTTCTTAAAGTTGGTCATGATGATTTTTGGACCAGGTCAAATGAGTTCATCCTACTTCACACTGTATGAGCAGTCCCAGCAATGTAGCCAACTCTTCCTCTGTGATGTCAAGGATTAAAGAATATATTTAAAGATAATATGCCAAAATTCTAATGATCTCAGTGAGGATCTGATTCATTCAGATTTGTCCAAGGTGTCCAGACCTTCCAGCATGGACCTTCACAAATTGTGTGTAGGTACTAGTCAATGCTTAATAAATATAATTCCTGAGTGGAATTAAGAGAATGCTCTGTATGTTCATGTTCTGAGTCACTGCTAATGTAATAATATTTAACAACTTTTCTCACTACCAAGAGGAAAGTTTCAAGTAACAAAAAACAGCATGTTTTACTCAAGTTGACAAAACTTAATACCTTAAGAATTAAGGGTGAGAGAATCAGCACAAATGCTTTATGGAAGTTTGTATTAGATGTAAATTTTCAATATGTGAATAACATTAATATTACTGTGACTTTATATTTTTTCCCTCTACAGTGTGACAAGCGAGAACCAAATGGCCTTCGAGTGGCTCCAGTTCCTCTCTATAATTCTTTTCATGATGTTTATAGATTTGTCAATGTGCTCACATCTGTACTTAACTCTGCAGAAACAAGAAATTAGCAATGTTTTATAGAGTAACTTAAATATTACTGAAAGCTTCAGAAGTCATTTTGCTATTATTCTTTTTAATTATCAAAAGTATTTCAAATTGTTTGCATTAACTGGTAATAAATCATATCATTTACATAAAATATGACATCATTTTTCAAAGATAACATGGCTTTCCAGTTTCTTGGATTTTGGGACCAAACTTAGGTTCACAGTCTCAATTAAGTATCATATTTCATGGCCATTGAAAGGTTTTCTGTTGACTTAATTTATAATTGCATTGAAAACTTCAGTCAACTTTTATGTCAATAATGGACATAGTGCTGTGGTTTTAACTTACCAAGGAGATTTTTTTAAGAACTGTAGTTGAACAGTTCTTTAAAAACTATATATCATATATATATAATATGATTTTACAATGTTCCATCTAATTCTAGGAAAAGAAAATAAAGGATGGTGGCTTTCAAATATTTTGGGCCAAATTTCACAAATTTAATATCAGATACCAGTATTTTTGTGTTTAATTGATTCTAAAATATTTTTGTCATATTTTAACGTCTCTGAAAGGGATACATTTCTCATTTTCAAAAAGTAGCTTCTTAGAGTACCTTGGCCCTTCTTTTGCATTAGCATCTCTCACAATGGATAAGCACCAACTTAGATTTGATTTTTAAAAGGGTATATGTAAAACCAAACTCTCCCCAAATCAATAAATCAATAAAGAAAGTGGTAACTGAACTAAACAGAACTTTTTCAAAAGAAGAAGTCCAAATGACCAAAAAACACATGAAAAATGGTCTCCATCCTTGGCCATAAAGGAAATGCAAATCAAAACCACACTAAGATTCCACCTCACTTCTATTAGAATTCCTATTATCCAGAACACCAGCAACAACAAATGTTGGCAAGGATATGAGGAAAAGGAATTTTCATACACTGTTGGTGGGAATGTACTAGCTTACATTCCCACCAACAGAATGTACGGAAAATAATATGGAGGCTTCTTAAAAACTAAACATAGATCTTCCATATGATCCAGCAGTACCACTCCTAGGGGATATACTCAGAGGAATTCGACTCAGTTATTCCAAAGGCACTTCCACACCTATGTTTACTGCAGCATTATTCACAATAGCTAAGCTACAGAAACAGCCAACGTGTCCCACTACTGAAGAATGGATTAAGAAAGTGTGTTTATACACATGGAATTTTATTCAGCCACAAGGAAGAATGAAATTTTGTGCTACACTGTTTATGCTATCTGACTTAATTGACTACATAGTTGAATTAACAAAACTTCATTTGTTGAAGCTCAACTTTGCAGATACAAGAGCTCTCAAATGTTAAAACTCCTCTGTATGTGGCCTTACGTGGAAGAGATTGTTTTTGAATCTCCCAGTGATGGAGAAAATAGAAGGGATTTTAGTTTTCAAGGAACATGTAGCATAAAGAAGGAACAGATGATAAACATGGAAACACCCAAATAAATATATACTTGCAAAGTATAACTTTTATGAAAGACAAATTCATGATACTTTGAATAAGAAAACTGTAGTGTTAACTAGATAGTTGTGTTAGGAAGAGTGAATTAAGGTGCTTATAAGTTTATGTCTTAAAATAGTTCATGTTAATCACATATGCACAAATCATTCAATGCATGAAAGAACCATATTTCCACCACCCAGATTAAGAAATAGAGCATTAGAAATCATTCTCTCCCACCTTGCATTCCCATTCCTCCACAAATCCAGAGATGACTTCTGAATTTTATCTTGTGTGAATCGTAAAAAGTTCTACATCTATGTATATACCCATAAAAATGCATTAGCTAATTTTGCTGTGCATGGACTTTGTACAAATGCAATCATATGCTATATATCCTGCTGCTTCTGTGCAACATCATGATTTCTATTAGATTCATCATTTGATGTCATTTTTTATTGGTGCACATTATTCTAGCCTAGTATTCTAGTTCTACAAACATTTTAAGAGGAGTTATAAATCATCCTTAAGTTTTAATACACCTATGGTAATTTTTTTAAATGGTATGAGGTGGTGATTCTATTTAATTTTTCTCATACAGGTCATTTATGTGATCAGGAAGTTCTTCTCTTGTTCCCTTTTATGAGAGAGTGGAGACAGAGAGAGGGAGAGTGAGAGAGAGAGAGAGAGAGAGAGAGATGAATTCCATTCTGAGCTATCTCTACTTTTCTGTTGACTGATTTGTGTATCTTTCATCAATTCATCAATTCCACAATGCCTTGACCTGGCAATTACCAGATTAAATCTTTCAGCTTCTTTTTATAAAGATTGCCTTGGCTATCTTGTGCCCCTTTATTTTTACTTATAAATTTAGAATGTATCTAAATAAATTTAGAATAAATTTATTGTGCTCCATAAAAACTCCTGCTGGGATTTCAATTGAATTGCAATTAAATTTTAGTTCAATCTTGGAAGAACTGACTCATTGCAATGTAGATTCTTCCTATTGAAGAACATAATGTTGATTTCCATTTATTTATTACTTCTTTAATGTATTTCAAAAAGTTTTATTTTCTCCACTAAAGCACTGCATATTTTCAGTTCAACCCATTCCTAAGAAGTTTGTAATTTAATTGTTATTCCTAAGAAGTTTGTAATTTCATTGATATATTATCTTTTATAAAATGTAATGTTTGATAGTTGTCACTGAATAGAATGCAATGACAGAGGCATTTTGACTTTTTATACTCTGAAATCTTACTCTTCAATGTTTATCATTTAGCTATAGTGTTTTTATGTAAGAAATCATTACCTGCAAATAAGCACATTTTTCATTTCCTTTCTAATTATTATGAGTTTTCTGTTTTTCTTATTTTAGATGGAGAGGCATGTGTTTGTGTCTGTGTGTGCATTCAATCTGTCTTTTTCCTCCCACTTGTACAGAAGCACATATTCTCTGTTATTTACTTTATCCTGGCTATTTTGATATGCATGCATGACAAAGTTTAAAATTAGCCTGTTTTATTATCTTTCTCCTGACCAGTTGAAGAAATTTGAATGCTTTAGCATCAACCTCATCTCTACTTATACATTACTATTGCCCAGAATAGTATTTAGTGGAGCTCCCCACCAATCCACACACACATAGCATGTACATTAAAATCTTTCCTCACATTTCTACTTGTGTCTTGAATTCCACTTGTGGATAAAGTTTATTTAGAATTTATTTTAATAAGGACATTTCAGTGATACTTTTTTGGGGAAAATAATTTGATTTTTTTCTCATTGCTGTAAAATAGTTTCACTTGTTATAAAAGTCTGCATTGACATTTCTTTACTCTCCGGAAATAGCAAATATTGTCACTGTTTCTTAAGCATTCAGTGCTCCTTACTTTATTGCTCTTCAGAGCGTTTTATCTTACAATCTGCTGTTTTGTCATGATATATCTGGACAGTATTATTTCTTTTTTGCTTGGTGGTGGTCATGAAGTTTGAACTAAAGGCCTCATGCTTCCTAGGCAGGTGCTCTACCACTTGAATGACACCACAGACCTTTCTTGCTTTAGTTACTTTTCAAGTAAGGGCTCATTTTTTATCTGAGCCAGTCAAGGCTATGATATTTCTATGGCCTCCTGCATAGCTAGTATCACAGATGTGCACCACACATCCAGCTTATTGATTGAGGTGGGGTCTTGGGAACTTTAACCCAGGTTGGCCTCATACCACAGTCCTCTACATCTTGCCTCCTGAGTAGCTGAGATTATAGACACAAGCCATTGTGCCCTGCCCACACTCTAGTTTTTAGTTGTTGTTGTTATTGTTTTGACTTTTTGAGACACAACCTGGAACTCATGATCCTCCTACCTCAACAAACCAAGTGGTGGGATTACAGGCATGCACCACTACACCTGACTTCTAATTTTCTATTTGTTTTATTTGCTCTACTTCTAAAACCTGAGAATTAACTTTTTTAAGTTCCAGAAAACTCTAAGGTATCATTTTTTCAAAATTACTTCTTCATTGTTTCCTTTGGTACTCCAGTAAGATGCATGTTAAACTTTTTCACTTTCATGTCTTTAGACTCCCTCTAATATTTTCTATTTCTTTAAATGTCTGGACAGATCTTGATTAAAAATTTTAAAATGTATTTCAGTTTCCAGAAATTTGATTGAATTCTTTTATAAAGCTGGTTAGATATTCTTAATCTTTTGAACCTGCTTGTGTTTTCAAACATTTCTTGTGGCATTTCTGGTGTCGTGTCTGGATTCCCTTCACCAGCTGCTATGTGTGGTGGTTGCCAACAGCCTATAGCTACCTCCCTTCTCCCACTGGGTCAGGACATGTATTGTGATTAATGACTAATTGATTGGAAAAAATTAAAATATATTTCAAAACCCTCACTCTTTGTACCACTGAGCAGTAGAGAATTCAGTGCATGCTTCAGAAACTTCCTTTAATCTGTGCATTAGACTGAGACTAGAACTTTACCTGAAACCAAAATTTGCTCCTTCTCCTTCCATATTCTTCTTCACTTACTCCAGATTTTCCAGACTTTCCAAATCCCCATTTCCTGCTTTGTCACTTGAGAGCCCAACCTAAGGCTAATTATTCTTTTTCTATTCTTAGCAATCATAAATATTTAATATTCTTTACCAAATTAATACAGGAGGAATCTGCAATTCTGTTTCTGTTGTTTTTCATGCCCAATGCCTGGTTTTCTGTCTGTTTTGTCATTTATTGTTAACTTTGAGCTACTCATTTATTTCAACTTGTTTGAATTATTTTAGGACTGGGTGAAAAATTGCTTTTCCCCAGAGTTCTTATGATTATTTTTGCCAGTTGCCCAGGATCAGTGATGAGAATACTTCCAAGTCTCTTTTTGAGATTTTTAAAACAAAATGTATAGCTTGAAACTGTATACATTAGTTACAGTTTATCAGATGGTACTATTTTCTTGCTGACCCTTTTTGTATTCCTTTGGTTGCCAGTATTATACATGGGTATCCCATCAACTTATTTATACATTTTCCATGGCATTAGTTATCAGCAGTGAACCTCAGTCTAGCTAGAATTTGACAGGAACTCTTCAGATGAAAGCCAGTTTTGACCCTTGCCTACTTCTTTGGTTCCTGCTTTTATTTCATTTTGGAGTTCTG